AAAAACGAACTTAAATGGTTTTGTCAGTCCCTGCATACATAAAGGAACAAAAGTCATTGCAGCTGATCCAGCAGCTTCGAAACCAATCACAGATTCCAGTGAGAGAAAAAAACAAGAAAAAAACATTGAAACTGCAATTTCCAGGAAGAACTCTTCTCCTATCCACCCACTTTATGGACGAAGCCGACCTGTTGGGCGACCGAATTGCCATAATGGCGGGCGGCGAACTGCAATGTTGCGGATCCAGTTTTTTCCTCAAGAAGAAGTACGGAGCTGGCTACCATTTGGTCATGGATAAATCGCCTCAATGCGATCCAGAAAAAGTCACTACTTTGCTTCGAAAGTATATTTCAAACATCGAGGTAAACTCCAGTAGGGGTTTTCAGCGTCGATCATCTAAGAGATGTTTTAACACTTTAGGTGCATAGTTGCATCGGCTCGGAACTGACCTATCTTCTAGCCGAGAGCCAATCGTACATCTTCGAGACGATGCTCAGAGAGCTGGAGCAACATAGCTACCATTTGGGCATCAACAGCTATGGAATATCGCTGACAACTCTGGAAGAAGTGTTCATGAAGTAGGTTTTCCGATCTGTTTTTTAGGGCAGTTATAGTGGTGTTGGAAATTTAGGGTGGGCGCCGACCATGGGCAGGAGGAGATCTACAACGCCAAATCTGATGAGAAGGAGTTGAACGGCAACGCCCCAACGGCAGTAGATATCAGTAAGTTGCCAGCTGACAAGTTTTCCGCCAACACTTTGAGGACATTGAGGTTTTCCATCAATTTGCAGTTGAGTTCAAGTCACCAACACCAACCACATCCTCTTTGGTCCTCCTCCAAAACCAGATAACAGCCATGAGCCTGAAGAAGATCCTGTCCACTATGCGAAGTTGGGTTTTGCTGCTGATCCAGATCTTCATGCCAGTTATCTTCCTCGCAATTGCGATAGTGGTGGCCCGACAGCAGAACAACGTCGGAAATCTGCCTGCACTCCTTCTAGATACCAGTACCTTTGATAATCCGGTCACGTTAGTTGAAAACTCTAATGGGAGTAGCAGTTATAGCGAAACCTATCGTAACATAGTCGGCAGCGCCTACGAGGCGGTACCATCTATCGAGGAGGAGATTTTGAATCTGGTAGGGCTTCACTGCCATTCTCCTTCTCGGTTTGTTGCTATTGGCATACATTTTGCAGACTGCAAGAACACCCGTGACAGTTCGAAGGAGGTATATCGGAGGCCTTTCCATCTCAAACATCTCAAATAAATCGCAGCTGATTGACGGTTGGCCCCAGTTAACCACTTACTTCAACAACGATCCATACCACACACCTGCGATCACCTTGGGCCTCACGTTGAACACCATGTATAGAACAGTTGCGAATTGCAGTGAGTGCAGCATGAAATTCCGGAATGCCCCGATGCCATATCTGCCCGAGACTCAGGTACTCAAACTAAGCTTAGGCAAAAGAGGTAGACTTACGAGGCCATTCCTTTAAGC